TGCTTTGTATACACATTCTCTAATGGTAGCGTTTGCTTGTTCGGAGAACTCTGCAGGAACTGCCATAATTAACAATACTTGATTCATGAAATTAACATTTGGCCAACACCTTGCTACAGATACTTTGATGAACTGTTATTTGAAGATAGGCGAACAATTAGCAATAGAATGCTTTCAGAGAATTTTGCGACAAAAATTGAAAGAAATTTACTTTGCCTATTTTCAGGAATGTAATATATTAGGTTTTTTTAAAATAAAGGTTTTTTTGAATAATTAACACACATACCTAATTCTGTTAAATAATCTGTGATAACTTTCTTATAATTCAATCCTTTTGGTAACACAGGTTTCTCCTTCTCAGGAATATTACCTAAATGAAGCTTGAATAACTCAACAGGACTGTTTCTCTCAGTCCGCCGTGAAGGTTTTTGTGCCAGCGCTGGTAGTCCCCACGCTACTACATTCTTGAGATTTTGATCATATTCCAATACCGTGTTGGTTTTAAATACACCCGCCACCTCCGGCCAAGTATCATTTGTAATAATTTCTAGATTGCCTGTGTTTGCGTAAGCAAAACCCTGTTAAATAACAATTAAGAAAAAGATTTATTTTAATTACTGTAATACTATAATGGATAAATTTAAAAAAGAACATACCGAATACCTTGTTCCAAAATCTATTCAATTGAGACGTATATCAAACCGATCATTAGCAAATTCCTATTTATGGAAATATTTTTTTCTCGACTATAATTTTGACTATTTCTTACCGACAGCTGATATTGAAATTATTGAAAATAATAAATTAGTATTTAATTGCGGACCATTTTTATTCAGAGTTCTAAGTTTACGTACAGACAACAACTTTAACATCCTGAAACGATTGTTTCTTTGTGAAAAAATTTAATCATAATTGAATAAATTTAATAATTTAATGTAAATTCATTGTAAAACTGAGATTTCTTCATTAAAAAAATATCCTGTCTAACAAATACTGGTTGAAATAAAGTATATCGGAGCCCGATATGTATATTTCATAAATTCTGGATTACTTAGAATTTGCTCGTTTTCTGAAATCTCTTCGATCTCGCTCCATGGATCATATAACTACATCGGTGTCTCTGTATTGAAGCTCCAAGGACAGCAAGTAACGAGATCAACGAAATTTCGGGAAGTGAACAAATTTTTGGGTTTTCTAGAATTTATGAATACAGCTGTAATGGCGTTATCCATGTCATCATAGTATATATAGCTATATCAACTTGATAATGGCACGAATGGTGTCATTAATCGGAGACGTATCAGTGCTAGAAAAAATATGATGTTTACCCGATTTGCTTTATTTCAATCAGCAAAAGTAGTATAGTTAAAATTTTTCACCTAATAATTTATACAACAATTGAATTTTAATGTTAAGTTTTGATCTAGAATATAATATGATCCATACTCACCTTCATTAAATAACTATTAAGAACCTTATTCTCTTTCATTGAATAACTATTGGGAATATAAAGCGATGATGCTGTAACTCGATTTGAAGCTGAATGAGAATTCGAATGAATATAATGTTGCTGATTTGAAGGTAAAGTTTCAACAGTTACATCTTTAATTAAATCATTATTTTGAATTTGATCTAGAGTTTCAAAAACTGATCTTATTTCAGGACGAAAACTAGGATTATCGTCCCAGCATTTTTGATAAAGCTCAACATATGGTAATGGTGTGCCGCTTACAGTCATTTCTCTACCTCCTCGGGATATATAAACAGCAAGTGAATATCCCGATTCAGAATGGAATGGTGGTCTTCCACTTGAAATTTCCCAAAAGATTACTCCTAAACTATAGATGTCTGATCTTTTATCACGTTTATGCCTTGGGTTTGAAAAACACTGAGGTTCTATATACGCAGGCATTCCATGAAGTTTTGAGTTTGAAGTCGTTGATGTCTCATTTATCTGCTTTGCTAGTCCAAAATCTGCAATCATGATTTGACCTTGATGAATTAAAATATTTTTTGAATGCTAGTATGAAATATTAAATAAATAATTTAAATAATTTAAGTATTGATAAAATGAAAATATTTATAAATCATACTTACAAGGTCTCGATGAACAATATTGTTGCAATGTAAGAACATGAGACCACATACTATTTCCTTTGCAATATGTACTTTGTTTGACCATTGCAGTTTTGTAAAATTATTAATCAAATGTTCTCGTAAGTTTCCATCAGCAGCAAATTGTAAAATCATATTATAATATCCATAATCGTCTGGTTTTATAATGAATGTTTGAAATTAACATATTTTTTAGTATAAACCGATTTAATATTTTCTCAAGTTAAAAAAATTCATACCTTTTGTAACACCAAAGAATTTAATAATATTTGGATGAGAACAAACACTTCGCAATAGCTTAAGCTTTATCGATAAAAAAATGAGAATTTAATAATTAAAATAATGCATACTAAGTATAATCATATTTAGTAGACAATACCTCCTTAATAAATTCTCGAAGGATATCTTGATTTGAATTTGTATCAACTTTAAGGCATTTAAGAGCAATTATTAATTCACACTCATACCATTTATATTTAGACACCGACCCAAACCCTCCATCACCAATCTTTGAACAATAAGAAAGCTTATTATATTCAATTCTATTAATGTGTCCTTCAGAAATAGCTTTTTCAAGCCACATATGTGAAGTATTTTCCATAATTACTCCCAAAATCAGAAATTTAAAATTTCTGAATTTATTAAAGCAAAAGAGTAGCGGCAGAGAAAATTGCATCCATATAAGTATGGAAAGTTCTTCTAATTGTATTACGTACGTACGGTGATTATGGGTAATAAATATAATGCATGTGTACTACATACGTACATACGTACCAATGTACTGTAACGGCGACGCATAATGAATGCGCAGTGTAGCTCCAACCATTTCTACATGTCACCGTATAGCCGCGGAATAACGCACAGGGGCGTTATTCCGCGGCTATACGGTATGTGGATTGAATGATACAAGGTTTATTAAAGTTCGTTATTATTGAGGGCTGCGCAGTATATCCCTATGAGAAAAGTGGTCCGGGTTGTGGCTCGGGTTGGTTTCGGGAATGCACGAAATGGTACGGATGTGTGGCACGTAGAGGCTCATTTTACGTGATGGTACGGCTAAAAAAGGCACGGACATTACGGAAAAGTGGTCGTATTGAATGATACTTATATGCACGTGTCTCAAGAGCGAAGGATAGGTAATGTTTTTTTATGAAAAAAAAAGCAATATCTCAAAATTTCACTGATTAATGATGATTGAAGTAAATTATGTTTTTTTTATGGTGGTACGTGAATTTACGTACGTCCGTACCAAAACCCGTACCAATTGGACTAGTAAAGTGTTGCAAAACCCGAGTCATTAACGGACCGACACGAGCCAAAAATCCGTGCCACTTCGAGCCTCTTACGTACAAAACCCGGGTTTGATCCGTGCCACCGAAACCCGTGCCATTCCGAGCCAACCCATACAATTACAGTACATTTTTCTTATAGGGTATGTATATATAATTAATCTTTTTTTTTTTTGAAGCCAAATTGATAACAACTTACCTCGATATTATTATGCACACTTTTTAATGTAGAATGCCCGAAATGAAATAAGGCAATAGAATCATTAGCGGTTTAAATAAATAGTATCTATTCGCAAAACCTGATTTAATAATCGAAAAATAACATTAATTACAATATACATTATTTTAATGAGAGATATAAATTCTGTATCAAATGTCTGAATCGGCATTTAATATTAGGTAAAGGGAAAACTTATATAGATGGAAATTATTAGCCAAATCACCTCAGACAAGATACGATCTAAGGACCCGTATACTGGGTGTCCCAAAAGTTCCTATACATGGTCCCTTTTTTTTATTAAGTGTTGCATAAATAATCGTCGTGATCTCTATATATAATGCCACTTTAAAAAAAGGGACCGTGTATATGAACTTTTGGGACACTCGGTATGTGAGTGCCTAAATTACCCATTTTATATAGTGCCGAAATTAATTTTCATATTTGCCGAAATTATTGGCGAAATTTTTTGAACACTTTTCATCAAAATACTGTACATCATATAATATAGTTATTTCGAAGGGTTTCATATAAAACTTTAGTAATGCCGAAATGTTTGCCGAAAATACGATTTTTTCAAAAAATAATTTAGGCGCCCATGTATAAGGACCCGCACAGCGCAGCCCTACTTTGACTTCCGTAATCTGAATAATTAATAATAAATGTCGGGATTAAAATAAATTTTGATTAACCCCCTAAAATCCACTTGTACTTTTTTATTATAATTTCTACCCCTAAAGCTGACCCTAACCCTAAAAAGATTCAAAAAAAAAAATGCACCTCAAATTTGTATTGTCTATTTACATAATACAATAAATGTATTTTTTTTTAATTTAAGCGATTTTTACACACCTGAGTTCGATCTGATTGGTGCACAAGCTACCAGTTACACACACAAGCCACCATAGATGTCCATAAAATACCTTAACATCGACCACAACAAACACAATTTCTAAGTCTTTACCCAACACCTCTATATTCCTTATTTTCTTATTAATTTTTTTTTCAACTTCCAATCGATAGAGTTGGCATAATTTTCTGAAATACCTGGTCGACAAAGGGCTTTTAAGGGATAACGATTATGTTAACCCATTATACCCAAGGTGTTTGAAGCACATTGTGAGCAAGTTAACGTATACGTAATGAGAAACGACATCTCTGATCATGGCATTGATGTTGGTGCTGGTGTACATTAGGTATGCACTTCTCAGCAATAGAACATTAAAGTCATTAACCGCTCATGGTAATATCGTGAGTAAAGAAGCGGAAACTTATTTATTTGGAACTTATTGTTGTAAAGTTAGACGTTATTAAATAATAATATCTTTATTTTTTTATTTTAATTATTTTTTTTAGGAACCAAATCTAAAGAACGAAATGAGCATAATTAAACTCAAAGTTGTTCCGCAAAACTTTATATTCGAACACAATGGCGAATTGACAATTAACAAGAATTCAGCCGACTCTAATTACCCGAAAACTCGAGATAATGAAGAGACTGAATTTATGTGAGATTACTGTAATACAATTAATACCAAAAATCAGTTATGTAGTGGCATTTAAATTAAATTTTCCGACAATTCATTTTTGTATGACAGATAATTTTGTAATTATTACATATCAATATGTTAGACGTCACTTTCATATTTCCGTTTCCGTCAATTAAAAATTGACGTACGTAGCTTCGAAATTGCAAATGATTTTATCGATTAATAAAAAAAATTCGAACGCAATTTATTAATGATTGTTAAAACCCACATGAAGATTAAACCACTGCTAAGCGCTATATGATTTTTGCATGTACCTCGGCAGATACAACCACAACGAAAAGTACAATGAGCATTGTTCTTACGACAAGACAACTCCTACTTTCATAATTTGTTTTATTGCATTTGTAATATTTAGTGGCCGGGTTAAATTTTTGTTGAGCACCACCAGCATTTCGTAAATAAATAAATTTGCCCATTGAAGTTACATCAAGTTCAGGAAATTCATCAGTACCTAAGGGCTCTAATTCGTTTACTGAAAACCATGTATCCAAAATTTCAAACTTGCTTCCAACTTGATATGAGTCGCAATGCTCGTCTACCCATTTTTAGCCTATCAATATCAGGAATCCGAATCACCAGATTTCAATTTTTAGTTTTATATCGTTTTTCCATTAAGATAATAAATCATTTGACGACAGGTCGATTTGCTACCACGATTATGTTTATCATATTTAACATTTTAATTAATTTAAAGGTATTAAGAACCCAATATTTAAATTTTGAATTTTCATGTTTATTTGATGGGGTTCGTAAAATAGCCAGGCAACGATCATACTTTGAACGATTCATTATATGTCTTCCGTTTTTTCTATTGTTCATGTAATCATTAACGGTTTTTTGAAAGCTTTGAAACGAAAGAAACGAAAAAATTAGCCAAGAATTTGAAGCCATATTATGGAAGATAAAATAACAAAGAAAATTTGTTTTTTTTTTTTTTTATAATCAATCTATTTATTAAACTCTTACATTAAACTTGAGTTTAGTTGAAGTACGTACGTACGTTACATATAATTTTTAAAACTACGTTTGTTACATTTTAATCGGTATAAATTTTAAATTACGTATGTTACATTTTAATCGGTATAAATTTTAAACTTAGGTACGTTAATTTTGAATTAACGGTTATTTAAGAGCAACGTACAACAAATATACAGTATTATTTTTTTTGTAATCTTTTTGAACGATAAAAATTTATTCTTATTTTATGAATCCTTTTTGCAAATCGTGTCGAAAGTAGTAAGCTTTGAAAGCTTTTCAAGGAAGTACGACTTGCTCCGAATGTTTAGTACGTTTTAAAGATAGTAAAAAACGAAAGCATGAAAAAAAGTAATACTGATAACTATTATTTACATCTCAGTATTTAATTGAATATAATATAATTCGATTACAAATAATAGATCTATTGATCAATTTTTCATTAATTTCATTTTCTTTGATCCGTTCAGTTAATTTATTGTTATTGATTACTAGACAGAATTATTTCTATTAAACTCTTTCCAATTAAAATAGAAGTTGACAGTTTAACAAAATTTTTGTCGTTGCATTTTTTTATTTTCTATTAATTATTCGAGTAGGTTCTTATCAAATCCAGTTTCTTTATTTGTATATATACATTGTTTAAAGTTGTGTTAGCTTATATTAAAAATATTATGATTCATATTATTGGAAAAATTATGTTAAACTTATTTGATATTCTAATAATTATAATATATAGCTAAAATTAAATTAGTTCATTGGACAAAGCATAGTGACAGACATTTAGTATTTACACTTGATCATACAAAAATTGGATTTTTGATATATTTAAACTACTAGGATTTGCTTGTTTAATGCAGCTATATAAATATTATGAAGATCACATCAGAAATGTAATTTGAAAATTTTTTGTTTGTCTACATGCATGTTCAAATTAGTAATTTAGTGCAATAAAAAATATGCATGCTTATGCATTTGTGTTATATGATAATTGTCATGTGCTCTGGTCTCACAATGCTATGTATTAGCCTAGTATTGAAATTGTCATGAATTCTATATGATTAGATCATGTTAGTGCTTGTATTAAAATTATTATAAATTTTATATAAAAAAAACTTATCTCTATTGCAATATATGGTTAAAATTAGATAAGTAGAATTTGAATTCCGAGAGTTTCTATTTATATTTTTATTTATAATGATATATTAAAATATGATTGGCTGTTTGATTAAATTTATTTGGCAGACAAATTTAATTATCTGTACAAGAAAAGTTGTGTGAATTTTTAAGTAAATTCTAAAAATTATCAGACCTGCAAATATAACTTATTGACTCAGATTTGACTTAGATCACAAACTTTTGACCAGGTACAGTAGAACTCTAGTAAATACTAATATTAGCTTTGTCTCTGAGCGAGCAATATGATATTGAAATTTGATTCATTTACTGGTATTTATTTTTGTTAATAATACACAACACACATCTCAGAATTACACAAATGAAAAACATGTGTAATATACTATATAGATATATAAATATACTAAAATTTTAGTTAATCATAGTGATAGATCGCTATTTAAGAATTCTTGATATTGATTTACCCTTACTAATGCAGCTCACACAAAAATTATTGAGAGTTTTTTGGAGTACTACACACTGAATGTTTATTTTTTTTATCAATCTTTACACTATTCATAAACAATTGAAATGCTATTTTTATTTACTCCCAATTGCCATCAAAGTGACTTTTGCTCACTTTACAAAATTAGCTATCCTACAGTTTTGACTAAAATCTAGTTGAAAATTTATAACATATTATTAAGTAATGTAGTGAATAGATAGAAGAAGATAAAGATGAAATTTTAAAGTTTAAGCATCCTAACATTGCTGAGAATAATATAAAGCAATTTAGAAATATTAAATTTTGCTTAAAACAATTTAAATAGTACATGTTAATTCTTCAATATGCTACCTGAGATTTAAATATAATTATTTTTTTCTAGATAAATTAGAAAGACCATTTGAAATTTGTTTTGCAAAATATATTTATTTCTTAATTTATAGTTGCCTGTGACCACTATTATATGTGACCTCAAGTCATTGCTAAGTCACAACGTCTCAATACAAAGATAACAGTTCTTTTTTATTTATTTTTATTAACTCTATCTCTTATAAGTGACACATCAAAATAAGACCTCAAACAACTATCAGAACACCAACATCTCAATACAAAGGTACCAGTTTTATTTTTTATTTTCTTTTTATTTATTTTTTATTTTTACACATCTTTTCAAGAATATTTAGTTATTTGGGATGTTTTATAGAATAGGTGAGCAATATAAAAATAAACTCTGCTAAAAAGTAGTAATTATTAATAGATATTTAGCAGAGTTGCAGAGTTTGCCTATCTATTCTATAGTACATCTGTTATTTGTAAGCAAAAGAATCTGATTTTTTTCTTTATTTCCCATGTCTCTTAAATACCCTTATTTGACTATAAATCAATTACATCATTACTAATCATATGATTTTGTCTTTTCTTAATTACATAATTTCTTAATTATACAATCCCTTAAATCTACAGTATATTGCATATGCAGCTTAATTGATTCATACTTGATCTTGATTACCTGATCGAACTGGGTGATTAATGATATATAATTTGATCAATGACACATGTGGTTAAGAGACCATACCTTAGATGTGAGACTGTCCCAACTTCGACAAGATTAATTTAACACTGTTATTACCTTATTGTTACAGTATTATTATATTGGCAGATTCAAGAGCCCAAAAATCATGAATAATTAGTTAGGGTGGGACAATCTATATTTTTATTGTAATATAATTGAAAAGTCAAAGTCTCATTATAAAAAGTAATCAGTTGAAGGGTGGAGTAATCAGTTAGATGTTAATTTTTCTATGAGATTCTTAATTTTTAGGATATTTTGTAGGACGGACAAATCAGTTGACTATTTGCATAATTATTATTTAAGGGGTCTTTACTGCTAAGTTAATAATTTTCTATTAGATCTGGAGACTAGAAAAAGGCCCAAGTTGGAAAATCAGCCCATATGTTCATAATTTCGTATTGTCCTCATTACATATGTATTTCTATTCTTATTTTAATAATATTGCCACAGTCAATATTCAATCAAGAACCGATATTGGCCGTGACACTTAATAATTAACAATAAAAGAATACACATAAAAAAAATATAATAAGTGCACTTAAAGAGGGTGCACGCTATGGAGAGTAAAATATATAGAGCTCCTATAAGTTGGGCCAAGCTATGCCGTGCATTTAGTGAATTTACACAATTTTTTGAAATCAAAAGTGCAAGATGTTAACTTAGTGATATTCACTAAATATTAGCTTATAAATAAGTTTAATCACTACTGTGCAGTAACATAAAGTAAAAAGGGGTAAAAGTTACAATAAACAAGGATTTTCTTACTAAGTAAATCGAACTTTTATTTATTAAGTAAAGTTGTTCAAAGTGCCATTTTTTTTTATTTACCCTCAAATTTTTTTTGATGCAAAGCGAATACTTTTACCAATAGATCTTTTTTAATACGTTTCAGCACAGAATTTGAATCAACCTCATCAATTTTGTCATAGTAAATTCTTTATTTCGATTGGCTTAGAGTGCCTATGAAAATTTAGACTGGAATTACTCAAACTTTTACTAATGAAATCACCAAATGAAAATATTCCTGGTCTAATTTTACCATAGAGCAGGTCTATTATATTTTGAAAAAAAAAATTAAAAAGAAATTTCCGGCCGAATATTGCATAAACAATATGTAATGTCAGCCAAAAGTTTTGTAGATCACGGCTGTTTGGTGAGGCAGTTCTTTATTAATATTATATTTTTTATCCAATAAATGTAAGATATTAATGAATATATTATTATATCTGATTTAATAATAATATCAGGGTAAATTACATATATTATTTAATATAAACAAGTTAAAGTTTGAATAAAAAATTGATGTATGACTTTTGAAATACTTTACAATTCTAGTTTCAATACAATATCACTACCGTACAAGCGCGTTATTTCGAGTACGCGCATGTGCGTTATTTTGAAACAAGGATTGAATTCGTACCCCTAATTATAATAATAGTATTTATTTAGAATAGAATTAAAAAGTACTCCAGAACTGAGTTTGGTATTAAATAAAGGTATTTTTTTGGCATAAACAAACGGTAGTAAACCCATTAAAGCGGTCTGGTAGTTCACCCGCAATGGCTCTATAAAGTTTTGCAACGTTTATTTTCCTTTTTCATGATTTTGCAAAATTTTGAATACAATTTAACTACCATTAGAATTGTCTCTATCTGAGAGTAACTTATATTATAGTCAAAAAATAGATTTCTTATACCAAACCCAGTACCAGAACACTATTTTATTTTTATATTTATTTATATGGATGCGCGTTAATTCGGAACACCAATGGGCGATAATTTGAAGCCACATATACTATTTTAAGGGCATCTAATTTTCAAATTAATGCCCCTGAGCGTTATTTCGCGTTTTTACAGTAATAGAAAAAATCATTCTAAAAGGCTAACGTCAAAATTTCTTAACACCTCTTCACATTTGCTCCAAAACTTTTTCGCAAATTCTTCATCAATTGCCTGACCAGTCAAGTTCACAAGTTTATATTGATCATAATATTTTCCACCATCTTCAATAGTCGCTTTTAAGACGGGATAAAGTATATATTTTGCACCAGTATCTGGTGGTAAACCGAACGTCGACATGAATAGGTGTTTTAATGGTACAAAGAATGGAGCAACGTTACCCATGTTTGTATCTACGAGTCCCGGATGACATGCTAAAGATATAACATCTAAAATAAGAGTAGTATTAAATTGATCAAAAAAAGATTATTAATATGATAAAGGGTTTAAATGCTGAATATATCTATCACTTGGAAAATATAAATAATACTGTAAATTAGAAAGCCTTACTTGAACTTTTTAAACGACGATTAAGTTCATTGCTATACACTACGTTCTAAAAAAAAAAAAAAAAAGAAGCCATTTAATCATTAAAATTATACATTTATTCTTATTTACAGTATTTCAAATGCATTACTAACCATTAATTTTGAGTTAGCATGCAGTCCAACAAACCATGATTTTTCACCATTTAGATTATCTAAATCTATTTTAGCAATTTTTATAGTATCTGAACTTGTAAAATTTATTTTACACGGAGATTCAGGTGTTGCAGATTTTTTCATAGTGGGGATTAGAAGAGTAGTTAGGAGAAAGTGTGAAAGATGGTTAACCTTATTAAGAAAAGATATACTCTTGAGATTAGAAAAATTTACTATTGCTATGTGAAACAAACGATTTTTAGATTAGATTTACTTGGAATTGTTCTTCAAAATTATCTTTTGTCATCTTCTTTGAAAAATTAAAAATACCTATAATGCATTTAAATTTTTAAATTCTAAAGAAAAAATAAATTGTGTTCTTATTCGCAAAGGTTTTGATTGATAATACACACCAGCATGATCCCACAAATAATGTAATTCACCAACTTCCTTAACAAATTTATCAGCAAATCTTTTTACACTATGTAAATCTGCTAAATCCATATCCCATATTTCAATAAAATCAACCTTCCCATCTTGAGATTTTCGAATGTATTCCAAGGTTTGTTCACCCTTTTCACGATTACGGACTGGAAGAACTAAGCGTTTTGGATTATATGATGAAACTATGCGAGCCAAACTTTTACCAATTCCTATATTATGATAAAATGAAAAACTGCTATTATCGTTTAATTGTAATAAAAGGTTGTTATAAAAGAATGCTATAACAAACCGCTTGTAGAACCAGTAATTAAAATAACTTTATTTGATAAGTCATAGGATTCGGTGGTTGATTCCATCTCGATATTTAGCGAAATTTTAAAAGACAAAACGTGATCATTATTGACCTTGGCGTTAGGGCGTAAATATATAATTTTTCGTGCATTTTTTGTGTAACTCATCATTATGTAAAGTATTGCTATTTTTATATAATGATGATGTAGATTAATTGTAGGTGATAATCACGGGTTGTAATCTAGTTAGTATGAAAGCACATTCATTCAAGATCTGTTAATATGAATGTATATAGATTATTCATAATCATGTATTTAAGGATGCCCTTTAGACCTTAATAAAGAGGGAAGCCCTTCATTAATAAAATTCACATGCTTTTTGTATATATTTTTCACCCGTCAACTGTCAGGGTAAATTGTGCATACAGTATATACCCGTCGCTCTCCCAACCTACGTCAATTAACATATAAAGGTCATTTACGAGTAGAGCTATGTTGGTATTCTCCCAGCAATAATAATATAGTAAAAGTGATTTACTGAAAAAATAGTTGAATAAATTTTTAAAATAAATGTAACATTTTATTAAATTACAATAAGTAAATTTTCAAAAATATAAAGAATACGAAAATAGAAAAAAGTCATTTAAAAGCTTTAATTACCACACTGGATGATAGCATATATAGTCAGTTATCAACTATATTTAATTTCGTGTAAATATTCAAGAAAAGCTCTCTCCGTAGTATTTTATTAAGTGACTGATATTGAAATTTGATTCTATGTATTTGAAAATATATATCCTGCTAAAATATTTTATACTTTCATTAACAACTCTAATTCTATTTATAATTTCATTAACAACTCTAAATCTAACCTACAAAAAAAACGATGAGAAGCAACCAAATTTCAGTATTAGTCAATTCCAACATCAGTTGCCTCAATTTTATTTGAACTATTACATTTACTATAATACTTAATTTAATCAAATAAAGTGTAGACATCAATAAACTATCCACAAATTAAATTATTTTCGATTTATGCCAGTTTAATTAATTTTTTAAATCAAATAAATAACTTTTAACAAAAATAAACAAAATTAAATAAATTTAAATGTGAAAATATCTACCTTCTCAGCATCTTATTAGTAAATAGCTTGTTAAGAATAATTTTAATAATAACTATTTTTTAAAATTTTTTTTTTATAAAACATGTCATTGTAGCGTTTGTAAGAAAAAATTTCAAATTAATTTATACATTTGTAATTTTTGTAACTAAATTAAAGATTTTAAGCGAATTATTATAAAGTGTCTCCACTAAAATCTTTTCAGCTTCAAAATTAAGCTCATTAAAGAAAGCCTAAAGAAGTTAAAGTAGCGTTTATACAAAGAATCTCTGCTAAAGCTTTTCTTCCATTAAATCTAATCTCATTACTACTAATATCTAAAGAGGTTAAAATGATGTTTTTACTAAGAGTTTTTGATGATGTCCTTACCCCTTTAAAACCAAGTTGATTTTCATAAGTATTTAAGGAAGTTAAAGTAGTGTTTATGCAAGAGCCTACACAAATGCCTTTCCTCCTCTAAAACCCATTTTCATTACAACCAATATTTAAAGAAGTTAAAGTATTGTTTATGCAAAGTGCTCTTGCAAATGTTTCTATGCCTTTACAATCAATCATGTTACCGAAATATTTAAGGAATTTAGAGCAGTGTTTGTGTAAAGGACCTTTGCTAATACTTTATACCTTCGAAATCAATTTCATTATTACCACTATCTAAGGAAGTTAAAGTGGTGATTCTTAAAAGAACATTCGCTAATATTTCATACATTTAGGATTTTCATAAATATTAAAGAATTATTTATGCAGAGAGCTTTTGCTAATGCTTCTGCTCCTTTAGTTAATGCAGTATTTTTACTAATAGTATTTGCCAATGCTTTTGCATCTTCAAATCTGATTTTATTATAACTAAAATTTAAAGAAGTTAGTATAAAGCTTTTATAAAGAGCTTCAGCTACAATTTTTCATCCATCAGAACCAAGGTTTTTAGGAAAGATTCAAAAAATCAAGTTATTTCTTTCATTAATAATCTTCATTAATGATTTTATTCCTTCAAAATCAAAATTGTTTACCCAATATCTTAAAAATTTAAGTTTTTTTTACTTGTTCGTAGAAACATTGAAACTAAAGAAAATTTAACGATATTTACAATAAAAGCTGAATCACGAGATCTATCCGTATTATACGTATTCTGCATGCCAATGTTTAAACCATCGGTCAAATAAAAGCCAACTGGCTTGTATCTCAAATAAAGGTCTTGGATAATTTGGAATAATAATTTTAAAGGAGATTAATAAAGCTTGTTCTTCAGATTTAATGATAAAATATAAATTCTCATAAGTATTTCGTCAAAATAATATGTTGATCTGCCCATAATATTGGTGCAATAATTCTACTCCGTTGACTAATTACAAGAAGGTATGAAAATAAATTTGAATAATCTGTCTGAAAACATTTAAATAACCTCAAAATAACTAAAATTTCACTCACCAGTTAACCAATTTGAATAGGGTTTTAAAATTAATGAATCGGCATCTGGTTTCGAATAAAATAAACGACATATTTATTTCAATTGAGTGATCTTTAAATTCTATTTTTTATATTCGTATGTATTATTTAATTTTCTGACTTTATAATTTCAAAACATAAATAAGATTATGAACTTAGGAAGAAATATGGCAATATGTTTTAAAAATGTAGAGAAATCAAATATATATAATAAAGTTTGCTTGCATAATACTTTAGTAAGTGTATGTATAAAATACAAAGATCCTTATTAAAATATTGGAATTCGTACAAAACTTTCAATTTAATAATATATATATTGTGATCATGCCTGATATTATATATATATAAATAATTCCTAATTCCTTCTTGAATTGATCTCACTCTTGTTGCTTGATAAAATTATTATTCTCGCTCGGATACTTTATTAAACAAGATATTATGAAGATACATATGGGAGTAGTGCTCCATTTCACTACTTTTCTCTTCTAATTTTTGACATACTTGTGCTCTTTGTGAATTTTACTATGTTTACATGTTACCTATCAACCTGTCACTGTATGTTCACGTGACGAAGTACAAAATGAGGATCGGAAGTACGGGCCCACGCTGTGGTGTGGCGCATTCTACTTCAATATTTCATTTTTTCTTGGAAGTACGGGCCCACGCTATGGTGTGGCGCATTCTACTTCAACTCTTTTTTTTTTTTTTTTCTTTTTTCTCTCTCATGCATGACAACCGGCAGGATGCGAATCTTCTGAAAAAGGGGGCGGGAGTGGTGGGCCAGTCACGAAGAAGTCAAATCGTAATCGGGCAGTGAAGAGAACAAGTAGACAAGACAAGCGAAGTAAGAAAACACTAAATTCCTCAATTACGCCCATATGCATCTTATAACCTTAACTTACCTGCACCATCTGCATGTCTATGATCTCAATCATATGAATATCTCAATTTCACATGCATTCCTTTTATGCATACAATCGTATGCATGCACATTGTCTTTTCATACAAGCCTTAATCCATACAAGCCACAAAGGGTGATCCTCGCGATAATAAACCCTAGCGTGACTTCGTCAACGCATAGGGCTATCATCATCTTTTTGTATTGTACGGCCCTATGCTTCAATTACAAAGCAATCCAATCAATTTAGATCTAAGGATTAGCAAAGGACAGCCCAAATATTTAGTTAAAAATTGTGATATGTTTCTCCTTTGCACCGTATTTGAATTAGAATGAATGCCAATTTCATTTTTGAAACTATTAGGAAAAACTTTTTATATATGTTTATTTCACAAATACTAATTGTGTGATATTGATATTCAGCAGTTATGATAATGAAAATGGCAATTGTGATTTATATATTATTAAAACTGAAACAATAATATTGCACTGGGAGATAACTGTAAGCAGTTGAGTTTGTGTGGCTTTAGCGCTGACAGGCGGTTTCCTGCCTACATAACACAGACCGGCCGTCAAAAGAACATGCGATATTGATACGTACGTACGTACGTGTTCTGCATTTATATTTATGAAAGTGACAGGTTTCCTTTGAGAAGGAGGGAGGATTATGTCGTGAATAGTGGTCTGTCACAGCTGAATAAGCAATTGCTGGTGTCAGTGTCTGAAATTCAATTTTTAAATTAGTTGCGGACTGCAACCAATTAAAAAAAACGACTTGCGGATTATAAAAATTTATAAAAATTTAGTTGCGCACATGACCATTTAGTCGAAATTTATAGGTAAATTTTGCAAATTTATATGCGGAATCTGCATGTGCACTTCAGATTTTGGTTGCGGGAATTTAAAATTTTGTTGCGGTCCGCAGACTCCGCAACCCAATTTCAGACACTGGCTGGTGTAGGGTTCAATTGCGTTTCCCATGAGTTTATCTTTGTCATTGCCCCCTTTATTAAGATAATGATTACTGCTTGTGGAAAGTCATTCAAATCATACCTCTTTCGATTGTCCGTATCCCATAAAAAGCATCTTATCAATCTTTTCAACTCAAATGACCAACTTTATATAGAAATATTACCGTTCTTAATAATAATTTAAACTATTACGTATGTTTTGCCTAACATCAATAAACTTAAGTAAGCCCGCAGCTTCATATCTAGGTGTCTTGATGCCCCAAAACGTAACTTTTGTATTACTTTGAATAAATATTTAAAGACCCACTACGCTTCGAAAATAATTAATTTGGAAATTTATTAAAAAAATGGAATCAACAAACATTGTTCGCAGCACTCAAATATTGACTCAAACGATTGAACTTAACAATGAATTAGAACCTCACGTCCCAATTAAAGAATCAATTGCTCAACAGTTTCAAAATCGAGGAGTACATGCAGTTTCAGTTGATTATGACAACTCCCCAAATTCTAAAAAAACAGTTCTTAAAAATCCCGAATGTGCTAATGGCTTTGTGGCTGCTATTTTCCAAGCTTATAATCAACATCAACATTTGCGTTTGAGTCCTGATGATGTTTGGCTTACAATTGCTCAAGGTGTTAGTCGTCACATTAATTTTAATGCTGAAAAATTTCGATCAAGGTTTGTTAAACATGAAGGAAAAGAAGACATTTATGTAGATGTTACAGGTGTTATAGACTTAAATCTTAAAGGGGATTGGCCAGAAGTTGTAAACAGATTTGTAGTAGAAGCTGACAAGCGCGTAGAAAAAATTGATTTAACACAATTATTAGTATGTAATTTCTCAACAACAACACCAATTTCCTTAACAGCAAGTCGCATTGTATTGATGGATATGGTTAAGGCTTATTTCAGCTACTCTTGTGGGACATGCTGTGGAATTCCAAAAGTAACGCTTGAAGGTACTCTTGAAGATTGGACAAAACTTCAAGAAAAAGTTATGCAATTAAGACAATTAAATTTAGAATTGGATTTTTGGTTGGATCGTCTTGAACCAGTAATTTTGAAATTAGTAGCCACTTATAATGGTGATATTGATGAAGATTTTTGGAGTAGGATTATGAATAAATATACGCGGTATGGTTCAGGAGGCGGTACATTTATCACAGGATGGATTTTGGGATTCTTTCCATACAATCATGCTGGAAATGCTTTACATCAAAACCACTCAAAATTTGAGAATTTTCCGCCACCAGGCACAGTCGAAGTTCCTTTTAAATTCACTGATACGAATCACTCTTTAAAGTTCATTTCTGGGTTTATTGGTGCTGATCAGGAAATTTCAGATGGTGAGGCAATTGTTTCTCCTGTAATCGGATGGTCTATTGTTGATGATGATGATGATTCTACGAAAAATTCACGTTCACATGATGAGATGTGGTTTTAATGATTACTACAATGACTTAAAAATGATTTTTAAAGCAAGACAGGATATTACATTCTTTTGAAATTCAAAATAAAATATTATTATTTTTATCTGATATCACTTAAATATTCAAATTATTATTTTATCTCTTTATTGCTTCAAAATTTGTCAATAATTTTATACACTTTTTTTTTTTATTCTCGACATTCAATAAATAAATTTTTATAAATTATCTTTGAATAAATATTTTTAACAAGATGCGCCCTACTGTTAATTGCCGGAGTGCATACTATTATTGCGTATAGCATATTTTCCATATGATACCTAATGAATAACGAAACACTCATCATTGGCAATTTCTAATTGAAAATGACAACTAATAAAGATTAATGATACATACTATATAATCAATTATAGGAAAATTTTTGTTGCATCACAATTAGGTACGTAGCTGCACGACGTAGTCGCATTGAAACTAATTTGATGTCAAAGAAAATCAAAAATTGATTATTGTATTTTGCTGTATAAAACATCCCGATGATGATAGTGGTTTTTATGATAGTAGACCCGAGTCTGATACTTATGTTTGATTTGGGGCAGGGACGATGCGATTCACAGAAAACAGCAGAGTTTTTCATAGTTATTATAGTTATTGCAGAATATCACAGTTTTCAAATTATATCGCAGAATTTGTTCATAAATTCAGGCCAGCTACAGGGAATCCTGGAAAGGTAGACAATAATTCAATGTAAATTACGAGCATGTTTCAGAAATTACATATTTTTAGAAAAATTTAGATAATAATTAAAAGATATCGATATTATATCAATATAACCCATTTAAAAAAGGTTATTTCATTTTTAATCAAGTTATGAATGCATCATCATTTACACGATCACCTTTGCTATTATGTTTTTTAACTACATTACAAGTTAAGAAAATTAAGATATATTTCATGAAATGTAAGTTCCTAGATATTTCCATTATTTTATTCGATATTCAACAAACTCGTCTGAATATTATGATACATTCTAATAAATTACAAAATAATTTTTAAATTTGAGTCATATATATTTAAAATACTCTTTGTACTATGATGTTTAGAATACTAATGGACCCAACGGAAGAGTCTTTATATAATTTCGAATAAATTTCACCAGATTATGATAATTAATGAAACAAACCGTCAAAGGCCATTTTACTTAAGCGCATATATACATACAATTAAATTTATTGGCATTGTACATACTTATTCAATATCGATATCAATATTTTTAGAACCAAATTTGTATGCATTCGTGGAGTGTTGGTCGATATAACTAATAAACTTACTAGTATGAATCGTACTATCATCTAAACCATTAAAGTTATTATTACTTTCAATCACCATTTCTTTATCAGATTTTGAAAATTCAGCTAAAATTTCTGCGTCATTTTTCCAGTTTAATGGTTTGATAAATTTCTAGAGCTGAAGGTCGTTTTTCGGGATTTTCATCCCAACATTTTTTTAAAAGAATTGCATAGCATGATGTTGTGCCTTTTATAATAGTTGGTCTTGCGCCATTACAGATTTCAAATGTTAATTTTAACTTTTCTTTATATTCAGAAAACACAATGTTCTCTGAAGAAACTTCCCACATAATCATTCTAAAAGAATAAATATCTGATGCTTTGGTGAATGGCTTTCCCTGCAAAACTTCTAGTGCTATATATGGTAAAACTCCATAGACTCTATATCTAATGTTTTATTAATTGCTGTTACAAATCCTAAACCACCAATATAAGCATTATCTAAGTCATCTTGAAATACATTTCCACTATGAAAATCTCAATGAATATTATCATTCGAATGAATTAATTGAAGGTCAAATGCAATATAAGATATCAATTCTAGTTTTTTCTCCCATTCCATTTGTACAGCTTTGTTAAGTTTCTTACGTACGTAGAGATCAATATCTGCATATTGCATAACCAAAATATAATCACCCGTTTCTTCAACTTTTGATACTCCATAACATTGCAAAAATGTGGGATTTTTACTTCCAATATTTAAATATACAATTAACTATAAATTATTAACATAAAAAAAGTTACAGAATCCTTTCTGCAACGGGTTATCATTATTAAAAGAAAAGAATTCATTATTAAAAATTAATAAGTTTATTAAACACCCGTACGATTTATTTATTGTAACAAGCGTAATATTCTTACAAAAATTACATCTGCCTATGCTTTTCTTCCCTCTGATTCAAGTTTATTATGCGATAATTTAAAAATTTTAACGCACTATTTGCAAAGTGTATCTGGTCGGCATATTGTTTCTGCAAATTGCATCTGCCAATGCTTCTTTCCTTCTGATCCAAGAAATTATCATAGTGCTCTTGCAAGATGCATATGCTAATGTTCTTGAAGTTGTAGACATTTCATCTATCTGTTTGATAGTCCAAAATCAGTAATCAAAGACTTTTTTTTTTTTGATAAATTAAGACCTTCTTCGAATGCAAATTATTAGAATATTAACAAATAGCTAATATAAAAATTTTGAAGTGTTGTAAGATACATAAATAATACTTGTAGTGAAAAACCCGTGCGCTATTTTCTTAATAATATGCAACTTATTTATTGGGTACAATTATTGTTTGTGATTTTACCATGGATATAAATATTTAATAAAAAATATGTAAAAATAAAAAAATAAATAAAATAAAAATAAAATAAATAAAATAATAAATAAATAAAAATTTTAAAATTAAATTAAAAAAATTACAAAAAAAATTAAAAAAAAAGATCGAAAATAATGGTAATAATAATAATAAAGTTAAATTTTTAAAAAAATAAAAAAGGTAAAAAAAAAAATCGAAAAAAATGGTGGACGAAAGGAAATAGGCGGTGCTGGCGGAAAAAAAGAAAATGTGTGGAGCGAAAAAAAGGGGCATGCATAGCGTTGCAAACTTAATTAAGTCTAAATGCTAAAATAATTACTTTGCAAAAGTATTGTTGTTTAATAGTTACAAAAATTACAATATATAGTAATTAAATTTAGAATTAAGTAATTTAATAATAGTTTGTCATTGATAAATCATACAGTATAAACAATGATAAAGATCAAATTTATTTTTATTACACAAAAATTTCTGATCGATGAACTAACTTCTACAAATATTCTTTAAACAAGTCAAACCAATTATTTCAAAGTGATACATGTTTATAAAAATAAAATGAACACTAAAATGAAAAAATTAGGTCTCCTAAAAGAAAACTTGGGATTATTATATAGCAAATAATGCTACTAATGACCGTAATACAATTTGCCATTATTATCCAAAGTATTGGAGCTGTGGGCGTCCTGAAGAAATGGAAGCATATCTTGCAAATAATTAATGTAATGCTTTTTATTGTAAGTACATATGTAGTTTAAATAACTTTTACATATAATATCGGCCTTAAAGAATGCAAAAATTATTAAATATACAAACAAATACAATTAATTTTGATTTTTGCTTTTATAATACTCAAATTAATTTAATTAAGTTCAACGCTAGGCATGCGAATAGGTGTAGCAAAAAAATACGTGCCCGAAAACAAAAAGGTGGGCGAAAGAAAAGAGTAGGCGAAGTAAAAGGGTAGGCGAAAAATAATAGGGTCGAACAAAGAATATAAATTAGGGTTACGCTGATCGCCTTCACGTTGAAAAATCCATTTGTCACTCGATCACCTATCATGGCTCAAACAACTACGAAATAACTATATGGGATATTGTCTCGCGGTTCACGTGGTCTACAGCTCATCCTCTAGGATCGATAATTTTCATCACACTATTTTACCTGTTCCTGGTTATGTACTTGACATCCAACCTGTCGGTCGGGCTATCAAACCTACTCTGACATCCAGGTTGTCTACCCGGGCTATCACACTTACCAAAACTAACTATGTATCCCCTCTCCACTTTCTCCCGGTGGTGGGAGGGTGGGCATTTGCGACAAAGCTAGACTTGCGTCGAGCTAGCAGCAAAGACAAAAGAGGAAGAACAAAATCTTCCCACTAAATAGACATTTTCATATTTTGTCATCACTTATCAATCAAACTATACTTACTATAACCCGTCATTCCATTTAACAGACAATACATCACACTTACCACTCGCTGATCTAACGTCATAGATCTGGGATGTGATCTTGTGACAAATGAATGCCCCGTGACTTCGTTCACGGCATCTCAGATGAAAAGCACCTCAACATTATTAACTCAATTTATAAAAAAAAACCGTGCTTTTATCGCACGCATGTTTTTTTTATATCGGAATGATCCGGTCTAATATACCGGTGTGAATTTTATTTTATGAATGCAGATTATTGTTGCGTTATTGAAACAGAAGCGGGATATGCTCCCAGAAATAGTGCCGGGAGATCATCATAAACAGTTGAGCTTGTGTGGCTTAGTGCTGGCCGGCCGTCAAATGAACATGTGATATTTATGAAAATGAAAGGCTTCTTTTGTTTGGGTTGGGTTGCGAATAGTGGTCAGTCGCAGCTGAGTAAGCAATTGTTGATGTAAGGCCCAACATGGGTTTATCTCCGTCTTTATTAAGTTAATGAATACTGCTTGTGGGAAATCATTCAAATCATACCGTCATACCGATACCGATACTCACCTCTTTTGATTAACTCTAGTCAATGGTTTCACGTGGCGCATCATCATGCCATGTAAAGGGCTCACACAGCGCTTCCGATTTACAGGGAAACACAAGCAAAATTCCCGGAAAATCATTTTACTAATAAAGACAGATTATACCAAGAAAACATCCGAAATAAAACAAATAGATCGCCTGGCGCGATACAAACATGAAACAAGAAAAATAAGTGTTACAAATAACACGTCGCGATAAGAAACCGCATAATGCTAAGAAAACAAAGAAATTACAATTACTTATCGTTTGCATTATTCAGTAAGTCCAAGCTTAACCGCATTGGCAGCTAATCTATTATACTTAACAATAAGTATTACTTTTACGATTAGAATAAGATTGATAATAGCTCAACAACGATAGTATAATATAGCAATGAGAATAGAAAATTTAATATTGTTACCGATTCATATTATTCGAAAATATATTTAAACAACCGATATTTTACCATAGTCAACTTCGTGCATGTAATAAAATTTATAAGTTATAATTTCTATTATTTACCCGATATAATCCCTTAATACTTTGAAAGTATAAAATATATTTGATATATATTTAATCATTAAAAGTCATTTATGACTACCATCGTTTACCAATTCGAAAACTTAGGAATATATAGCGATTCATTACTCTTGCAATATTATTAATAATTTTATCGACACCACTTGTAATAATAACAGCTATAATAGCTGAACATTATATTTATCGAAAGCTTAAACTACTCTATTGAATTATAAAAA